ACCTGACTAGTGTAACGAATCAGTAAGCACTGAGCTAAAGGTGAACGAACATTCCCCTTTGTCAAGCTGGTTACTAGCTTGCTAACAGCTAACCGATCATTTTGTCGTATCTGCAAATTTAGCAATAGAACATGTAAGCAAAAGCTAGCCATGTGTTTATAATGAAGACCCCTCCATAAACCATGACTCAGAGAATCAAGAGTGAAGCTAACACATTAATGAGCATGGACTTTTCATCCTTGTGTGATTAGTTAGTATTCCAAATATTAGTTCATATTACAAAGAAAGAGATATATTGCCTTAAATTTTAAGGAAATTATACCAACAATAAATTCAGCTACTCCTTTCAGAAACAAATCAAAATTCTAGTGAAAAAGGACTGAAATATAGATCCTCATGATTATCCACATTTCTCTTCCTCACCCCCAAAAATAAGAATAGAAAAAACAGAAATTCCTTTGTTATGTGAAGTGGAAGAAGAAAATTAAAAATATGCCATTATCTACAAAAAATAGAAGATCAGAGGAACATCTTTATGCGCATGATTATTCATTTTATTATACACAACAATGGTATGGAGTCAACGAACTCAACCATTTTTCAGAAATTGGCACCTAGAAGACAATTCATGGAGACTTCCACTCGTACGAGTATTGTATCAAAAAGAAACATATATTTACACGGCGATGAACAAAAATTAAAAAAATCACAATGATTCACAGAAGAAAGCTATAGAAATTGGAAGATAGTCAATACTTGGAGGAAAATGAGGAAGAATGCATCCCTCCTTTTTATGAAAGAGAATAAGAAGCCAAAGCCAAAACCAAGCAAAGAAATTTTGAATTTTCTTGTACTAAAATGAGCATATGTTACGAAAATTATCAGGAGAGGCACCCAGAAAAAATCTTGCACTGCCCCCAGCTATAATTTAGTAGTAAAATTTCTTATTATTTGCAAACGATCATGTGGCTGAAACCCATATATGCTCTAGTTTTGTTATTCAAATACAAACCAAAAAACTCGAAGCTGGGAGCATAAATAGATTGTGCGGAGTTATTGAAACAAGAATAATTTTATTGTAATGAATTGATCATTGAAAAAATCACAGCCTTTGTTTATATAGGCAATCCTAATACCTTAATTAAAACATAAAAAAAAGTCATAAAAATCCCGAAAAATGAAAAGTCCAAATCTAAACAAGAAATAAAATCTTATGAAACTAGAAATAATTCTCCATCTTGTTTGTAATAGAATTGTCCTACATCAATCTCCCCGACTTGGGAAAAACTCGTCCTCGAGTTGGTTGAAGAAGGGAATATTAATCAAATCTGGAGGAAAAACTTTTGTATCACATTGTAAGAATTTGAACCTAGCTTGGATTCAAGGAAAATCTCTAGCCACTTCTTGCCACGTTCTAGACTCATTAAAGCAACCAACATTTGTAGCAGTGAAAATCTGCAATTTTTTGTCAACAGTTTCTTCGAACCTATCAATCATTCATTCCAGATTCTGGATTGAGTTTGATAATATTGCAATCCTCTGATCGACGCGCAAGGATGCATCTCACTACCACCATAGCTGACTATCATCAAAAGGCAAAACCTTACTCTAATATCAATTTTGGTGCAGAAGCGGAATTAGAGTTCGTGAAATAAGAATAAGGTTGGACCAACTCAAAAATTTGTAGAGATAATTTTATTGTAATGAATTGATCATTGAAATATTACAAAGTCATTGTTTATATAGGCATAATAATCTCCTAATCCTAATAGCCCAAGGAAGATGAGTAATTAAAACCTAAAAGAAAAAGTAATGAAAAACCTAAAAAAATAAAAAGTTCCAATCTAAGCAAGAAATAAAATCCTATTACAGCAAGAAATAGTTCCTCGTTAGGATTGTCCAACGTCAATAGAAAACCTAACAAAGGTAGGAAGAGAAACATATATTGGTAAAAGAGAGTCAATTAAATCCTATCAGACAAGAAAATAAAATACCTGATGGAGCAAAGCAAGTGCATGAAATTGCACAAGTGCAGCCCTAGATTGAACAGCTTCTTGTACCTCATTACTCCACCTTTTCACTATCTCTGGGTTTGTCTGTCAAAAAAGAACATGTTACACGGCAGAAATTTCACTTAACTAGCAGATGAATTTGACTTCTCAAACATTTGGTAGTACCTGTAATAGATGAATGCCACTGACAAGAGCAGCACTAGCAACCACTGGATTTTTGTCAACAATAGCTTGTTTGAGATACCTTTCAATTTGTGTTAGAAGTGTTCCATCGGTTATTCGGCACAAGACACGTATTGCATTTGCCCGATACATATCAGTGCGGCTATTCATGTCCTTCATGAGGGAGCTTGTGACAATAATAACCTTTGATGTCAAAAACGAAAGACTTCATTTTCTACTACTCTGAAAGGATGGAATCAGTTTTCAAAAGAAAAAGAAAAAATAAAAACAAGGAAACCATATAACCTCATCTGCAGAGGGAGAAAGCTCCTTTATCATGAGATAAACCATTCTCCTGAGACCAATATCTCTGGACTGGAACAGCTTCGTAACGGAAAAAAATACTTCTGTGGCTTCAATCTAGAAATTAAGTGAATAGGAGATTATTAAATCAAGCTTTGAGACTTCAAAGTAAAACGATGATGAAATACAATATAAAAGAATTAACAAATAAAAGCACCAAGGAAATGTTTGCAATGTCACAAGGTAGACAAGCACACTGAGAAATCTCGCTGTCTCAAAACACATCTCATCATACACAATTTTCAGAGAAGAAAGTCTATAAAAAGGATATTTATGCGTCAATGTTTCAACTTTATATATATGAAATTTATATGCATCTCAGTAACCAATACGATATAGAAAAACTAAGAGGTAAGACGAGACATGTGGATGCACGAGTCCATACAAGTCACTAAAAGTAAACTATGTCATTTCCTTGGAAGTCAGTTATCAAATTGAATGGAAAACTCGTCTCATTTTCGTACTTTTGTTGGGGAACTTCAAATCAAACTCCTTAAATATTTAAGATCTTGAAAACAGTACTTAGAAACTAGAAAACAAAATATAATATACAAAGGTGATATACAAGTAAAATATGACTTGGCAAAGGTTGTCCAAATAAAATGTTCAAACATTTCCAAGTAATCACCTAAGGCATGATGAGTATACAAACAGAGTTCACCATACAGTTCTTTCTCAATGCCAATGGGCTGTTACTATATATATGCAGAGTAAAGATGTCTGAGTGAATCTCTAAAGTCATCTAATTTTATCGTTAAGAATTGATAAACTTTAGAAATCAAATTAACGTTGATATATTCACAGAAAGACCTATGGTTTAAATTCTATTGCCAGATGTGCAGTATTATCAATATAAAACTTGTGCAAATTTAGTAATGTTTCAACTCTGTGCATCAGAAAAAGAGAGGTGTAATTTGTAACAGCATGATAATCTGACCTTTGTAAATGTCTCGCCCTGATTCAGAAGATACAGGAGCTTCGTGATAACCTAAAAAAGTAAAAATGTTGATTATTTCATACAAACTTACGAAATCCATGGTTGAATTGATTTGCAAATAACAAAAAGAAGTACCTGTGAACATCTCCTGGCATCCAGCTGAGGGTCATTGAAAACTCTAGCTTCCTGTAACACTGCACCCTTCTCAATCCCCAAGAACGGAGAGTACTCTGCTGGAAAAAAAAAATCAACATCAGCATGTCTAGGACCCCAAATTAAGTAGACCCAAACAGCAATTAACTTGTCAAAAATAATCTAATTCCAACCAATCAAAGAAATTATTCCATCAATCTTATTCTGCATCCCACGAATATCAAAATATACACAAGTTCACAAAACATGTACCTATAACTTAATCAAGGAAATAATTAACTCAAAGAGTTATAAATCAATCAAATCATTCAATTAAAATGCCTATAAGTGGAAGAAAACTCTAGTTTACCAAAATATATGCTAAAAGGTATTCAATTTATGATTAAATCCATAATTCCGAAACAACAGAACACACAAATGTCAAGCACTACCAAAAGCATATGCTAAAGGATCAAGCGCACTCAATTTTAGATTAAATCCATAATTCCTAATATACCAGGAAATGTAGATCTGACACCAAAATGTAGAAAAGGGATAAACTAGAGTGTGAATGGAAACCGAAAATGAATCAATTGAATAACAAAAACTGAAAGAATTCAACAATGAACAGTAAATAAGAAAAAAAATCTGAAAACACACCTTCGTCATCGCGATCGTCGTCTTTCTTGACGAGAGGTTGAGCCATTTTACAGAGATCTGTGAGGTAAGGTGTAATAAAGTAAGAAGAATTTGCAGATCTCTGCTGTGGATTTCGGTTTGAAAAATTCGCAATGACCTCTTATATATCTATAGCAAGTAGACTCGACTGCAGATCAGAGAGGTCCCAATCCAATGTATTCACTATGGCAAAACACATTGCTTTCAACCAGGTTGTGCCTGATTTCGTAATTGTGGCAACGATTATATCACTGTCTTTTGCTTTATAGTGATATTGAACATAAATTATGGTCTGAATCAAAACACAATCCATTCTTGATGACCCAACAGTGCAGTTGCTGCTCTAGAAACAACCACCCCAATTCAGAACAAGCTGACAAAACACTAATGAATGTAAATCGGTATGGTGTAAACCCAGTCAATACCATATCCATAAACAACTCAATTGCATCCCCCGGTACCCCAATAGAGAACACTTCATAATCAATGCCCACAAAACAAAATTTTTCTCTTGCATTTCATCAAACACTTTTTTTGCTAACCCCGAATCACAAAACCCCTTTGCAAATAAATCAACCAAATTCAATTCAATCACAGACTCACAGTAAAATTTTAAACAACAGGGACGAGGGAACAGGTTGTGTGTCGTCAGTCGTGACTGTGTCAGTGTAAAACAAAATACAGTAAATACTTACAGATAATCACGAATTCATGCTTCAATGCCTCACGGTTTTCTCGTGCCGCTTGTATTTTGCTGGAGGACGAACTGCGGAGGTTGAGTCACGATTTTCTCTCTCAGTCGGAGTCGTCGGACCTTCCAATTTCCACTGCGACGGGCGCACAGGCGGCACAGCTACAGCAGCCTGATCCGGCCCTGGGCGTTGGGAATTCGGAAGTCGACTGGCGTTGGAAATGTCTCTTGCAGAGGCTGGGAGATGTGGGTTTAGGGGGAGAAATGAAAATGAACAAGGTTGGGGAACTGGAACAGTGAGAGAGAGATTGAAAATGGGGCGTTTTCCGTGTTTTGTAAAAACACGGTGTTTTGGACTGAAAAATACAAAACGGAATTTTTATTGTTTTCCATTTTGTGTTCAAATTTTTTTCCTGTTTTCAAAAATTCGTTTTGGAAAATGGGAAAGAGAACGAGTTTTCAACGTTTTGAAAAATCGAAAACAGAAAACGGCCCGAAAACACCAAAGAGAACAGGCCCCTAATATTTCATAGTGTCAAACATATCCCTAATAGACCAGCCTTGAGTATACTCAACAAGTTAAGATCGATTTAGGACTCTCGTTTTTCACTATAATGAGGGAAGGCAAATAACAAATTGACTTAATATTTTTTTTAACGAGGGGTTTTGCATGCAAAAAGTCTCATCGTAATAATTATATATATATATATTTATTATACATATAGCATGAAAATAAATATACATATAATAGTGTGGACGATATTCGGTTTGAAAAATTCGCAATGACTCGACTGCAGATCAGAGAGGTCCCAATCCAATATAAGCACTAACTGCGTAGAGCTCAAGTTTAATCGGGTGTGGGTGTGACTGCTCAAAAAAATAAAAAAATAAAAAATTGAAACTTGACTGGTTTTTAAATTGCTTATCTTTACTTTTAAATTATTTTTAACTCATAAATATATTATTTTGAAGAGAATAAAATGTTTAGCCCCTTTCTTATTTAGATTAAAATCATAATAAAATTTAATATTAAAATCAACAATTAATTTTAATCACACATTTCATCATTTTTTACATAAAGAAAATAAAATGTTTAGCCCCTTTTTGATTTAGATTAAAATCATATTAAAATTTAATGTTAAAATCAACAATTAATATTAGTAACACATTTTAACATTTTTTATCAAAATTTATTAAAAATCTAATTTGAGCTTACGCCAAATAGAGCTTAGACTTGTAGCTCGTAATATTGAACTGCTACGGGACAATTGGCACGTGATATGGTAGAATAGGCATGATGGAGAATCTAGATTTTGTATGTTCATAGTATTCCATGGTCTTTGCAGGAATGTCTTAACTTATCTCCCTCTTTAAAAAGATGCACAGTTCATTACGCTCTATATAAAATGTAAAATTAAAGAAAAATACGTAAATACATATTATTGAGCCATTTTGAACACTTATATATTCAAGAAATACCGCCTTAGTTTGAAGGGATAACGACCACAATTATGGAAATTCAAGAATAGGGACAATAACGAAATCATTTGTACTCTAACTATCGAGTCTTTTGGATAGGTTAATATTTTGCAACGAACTCCTATCAAAAGTGCTTAACATTTAAATAGTTGATTCATCTGAATGGGAAAGAATGCTTGTGATAAATACTCAAATTTTGTTTCCAAACCATAGAGAGTTATATTACTTCTATTTTGTTGTCTGAATTCTGGACAGAAAAATTCAGTACAATCGTCATATACAAAAACTAGTTTGACATACACAATTTCACAAATACATATACTCCATATACATGGTTATAAATAAGATCTATGGTGCACATTCAACACGTGGTCTCTATGGCAATGGACAGCACTTTTGGTACATAAAACTAGAATGGACTAGATAGTACTGTACAGTTCTTCGCACCGAACGGTCCATGAATTTCAATCAAAATTTGTGAGAGAGCTTTTGCTCAATGGAAATTCCCAAGAACACTTCAGTTGCAATTAGTGTGAGAGGTTGCTCAAGTATTTTGCAACCGGCTCCAGGTAGGGCGGACTTCCTGTGAATTTCCGCCAGAATGGACAAACTCGCCTGTGAGTCCATGCTCACTGCTAGTGAATTCTTGGCTTGACATTCCTGCCTTTTTAAACCTTTTCATATCCGAATATGAAGCCCCATCATATTCAGAACTAGAGCTAAACATTGCGCTATGCCCAGTTCTTCCTCCCTCGTTTAGGTCATCTAAAGAAACATCCCCTTCTAAAGCACGTTCAATCTGTAGAAATACCAAATTACAATATTATTAGATACCATACAAAGATATTGGACAACACTGCACTGGATATCAGACAGTATTTACCTTTTCTATACATGCCTACTATTTATGTCTTTAAACTAATATTAGTATATCCAAAGAACAAGTTACGATACCATTTCCTTTTTAGTATGGAGTGGAGAATTTTATGTGACACTTAGATCTATGCATAATTGAAGTAAACTCCAATAGTGAGAGATTTTATTAACCTGGCTCATTCTGGGGCGTCTCCTCGCAGAATGCCTAATACATGCAGCAGCAGTGGCAACCATACGTAGCATCTCTTGTGGGTCATAGTTATCCTCCAAGCGCGGATCCACCAATTCTTTATAGCTTCCTCCTTCAGTGACACTCATTAGTATCGGCCTAGCCTATTCATTACAACAAGCAAAAAAATGACAAACTGCATATTAGCAACATTTCCAATACGAATTAAGCCACTTCTATAATGGCTAAAAGCCCCCGCAAAACAATTCCCATGATAGATAACGAGTTTTCATGTATGGAGTGTTCTAGCAAATTACTACGATCACAAAATATAGATTTAATCACCAAATAAAGCAGTAATTAATATGTAGGAATGCACATACCCAATCGACTAAGCTTTCATCATCAGCACTCCTGATATCCACAGGGCATCGTCCAGTTATCAGTTCCAAGAGCACAACTCCAAATGAGTAGACATCAGATTTTTCAGTAAGTTTGCCACTAGCTGCATACTCAGGCGCTAGGTACCTGCATTTCACATTCATGGAAGCTCATTAGCATCTCATCTTAATTGCTAGTAATAATTTGAGCCGGGGATTTGATTCGAGAACTAGTCATATAGATTAGATAATTTCCTAGTTATGCTATTCAAATAAGGAAAAACCTCTCCCCAAGCATTACGCATATTGCATGGTGGGAAGGTGATTAAACTGTCACTGCACATATTTATTTGTATTTGGCTTTTATATTCAAAGGTCTAACTCGTGAAATTTTCAATTCATAATCACTCTGTCAAAAAATTCAAACCGATGATAATCGCAAATTGTCCACAACTCTTCGGTTCCATATTGTTTATACACTGATAAGTTGAAGAATAGATTCTTACCCAAATGTTCCCATGATTCGAGTTGAAACATGAGTGTTGTTGTCTGAAGAAAGCTTAGCCAATCCAAAGTCAGCCACCTAAATTCAAGGTACAATTACAAGTCAATTAAGCCTCCTTTGGATACCGTTATGTTAATTATTAATTTCAATTATACATTGATAACTGTTACTCATTATGATCCACGTTTTTGCCGGACCGACTACTATTTCTCTTATTTATAAACCATTTATAAGTTTGCCAAACAGAATCTTTCTCAATTATCTTTCCCAAGAAATGGAAGGAAAAACTAAATCCAATCAATACAATACAAGGGTGACGTTTGCCAAGCAATACCATATTGAATAATGTTACTTGTACGTAAAGAATTACATAAAGTTTTTTAGATAGAAGAGGTGTCAACAAGAGACTGGAAAATGTTATTTAGATGTTTTTTTTTTATTTGGTTGAAGAAATTTGACCCAATCATATCTCTGTATCTACACTAAATTAAACTATAAGCGGTGATGTACATATAACACAACCGTAATATACAAGACGGAATACTACATTAAACAAAATTTATCTTATTTTCTTCTTTAGTGCTTGTGTGAAAATGATTTTTTTTTCAGAGAAGAATGTTGAGGTTAATAAAGTGGGAAAAGTAGTGGAAACATGAAAAAAGATTTTATTTATTTATTTATTTTTTAGAAAGTGGAGCTGAAAATGAGTGAACGAAAAGTGATTTTAAAATAATCACTTTTAAACAAGGATTTAGGATGTGTTTGAGCCACATTATTTTGGAAGAATGTATTCTAAAATAGTACATTTACGGAAAATATTATTTTATTGAATAATGTGCGGTTGAAAATGAGTAGAAGAATGAGAATGAAAATTTTAATGCAGCTCAAACGGGGGCTTATTATTGTTAAGTCCTGTTCGGTCCTCTTTACTATTGTTCGGCCCTCTTTACTAACCAGGCTGGGAGAGTACATGACAATGAAAACATGTTCGAAATACCTTAGCTTCAAAATTGAAATCAAGAAGAATGTTTGCAGCTTTAATGTCTCGATGGATAATACGAGGATGACCTACAAAATCAGTGGTAAGTAAATTATTCAAACTTAGGTGGACATTAAGCCAAAACGGGGAAGAAAAAAAGCTGTATATATGAGGGGGAGAGTAAATCACAATCTTCATGAAGGTAAGCAAATCCTTTGGCCGCTCCTATTGCAATTTTAAGCCTTGTAGGCCATTCCATAGTTGGACGACCAGATCCTGCAAAAATTGGCAAATGACATTCATGTAGAAGAATAATTTGTCATCATTTTTTTCTGATTAATCATCCCGTTTAAAAGTTTAAACTGCTCTGCATAATATGATTTGTATAGATAATAAATCATACCATGAAGGTGATATTCGAGAGTATTATTGGCAACAAATTCATAAACCAGCATCCTCTGAGATTCGGCAATGCAATATCCGACAAGCGACACCAGATGGCGGTGGTGGACGCGGCTAATAATATCAACCTCCGCCTGAAATTCCCTTTCCCCTTGTCCGCTATTCGATTTCAGACTCTTCACTGCAATTTCCTTCCCATTCGGTAAAATCCCCTTGTGCACATATCCAAATCCGCCTTGTCCTAACAAGTTAGACTGCGCAAAACCGCCAGTCGCAGCCGCCAAGTCGTCGTAAGTGAAGCTGCTTTGATTAAATCCAAGGGCGACAGCGGGGTGCGGTGGTGGCAAGGCAAGTCCGTGTGGACCGGAGAAGCCAGCGGAGCTCAATTCGCTACTGCTCATCATTGGTGGCGGTGGAGGCGGCGGTACAGCCCAACCCATTTCGGAGCTCACTCCGGCGCTGCTGAGTGCCGCCGGTACTTTAACTACGTGATCAGGAGTGCGACCGGCGTTGTGCCAGTTTCCGTGTTGCCCGCTGCTATAATAGTCAGGACCTGCGTAATTAATATTTTATTATTCCAATAACTTAAAAAGTAAATTAAAATGAAAAAAAAAAAATTAAATATATAAAGGTAAACGAAATGCAAAATAAATAATAATTGCTTCCAAATGTATTAATTGATTTTTGAAAATGTCCGATAATCTACTTGTATTAAAAAAATTTAATATGCCAACAATATTATACAGATTTAATTTTATTATAATTTTTAGAATTGAGAACTTACCACCATTTCTACGAGAATTGTCACTGTAATAGTTCATATCATGTGCTTTTCTTTTCTTCCTTTTGGTACAAGACAACAAGAATGCAATCATAACAAGGAGCAAAAGTCCAGCGCCAACAGCTGCTCCGACGATGATGGCTTTCTGATTAGTGGAGAAGTCTTTATCATGGGATCGTGAATGATGTGGTGGTGAACGGTGCTTTGGAGGAGAAAGTGATCCAGAATGAGGTAGTGGAGGAGGTGGCGGAGGTGGAGGAGGTGGTGGCGGCGGAGGCGGTGGAGGTGGAGGTGGCGAGTTTCGAGATGAATCGTCATCTGACTCTTTTCTTTGGCTTGACATAGGTGCCTGAAGCAACTTGGAATCTGAATTCCTTGGTGGTGGTGGAGGTGACGAATGCGGTGGAGGTGCAGAAGACGATGAATCAAGTGGAGGAGACGAATGCGGTGGAGGTGAAGATGATGATGAATTAGGAGGAGGCAACGAGGCAGAAGGTGGGTCCGCCATGTTGATAAAAATTAATTAAAGGTAGTTATATTACCACCACGATGCATAAAATTTATGATTGAATAGACTCCTCCCAAACGAGCATTCGGGTTCCCCCTTGATCAAGATTCTGTGAACCTTCTATCAAGTTTCCACCATTCATGACAAAAAGAAACAAGAAAATTAGAGAGAGAGAAATATAGATAGAAAGAGAGAGTAGAGGAGAAATCATACCTTTAGGAGAAGGGGAGGGAGGATTATCTCAAAAGGAAGTGCATGTGCATGAGAAAAGTTTCAACAAAAAATTTATTTTGCATCCCTATACTGAAACTCAACCACACATCATATTTCTTATTTTTGGAAATATTTTATTATTATTTTCGAATATTATTTAATCTGTTGAATATTCCACGATTCTATTTGTTTGACGCCTTATTTCGTGCTAGTTTATTGGAGATTAATGGCCCAACAAATGTCATTCAATTCCCCTCTTGTTGCGCTCTTGCTTCATAACCACAAATAATTTAGTTATATACTAAGTAATGTGTTATAATTTATTTATTAAAATAGAACAATGAGTAATGGGTAAATTGGGTCGTATTGTGCGAATCATGTTTTTCGACTCATATATAATGTTCGATCAAAAAAAAATTGGTAATCATGTGAAGTCCACGAGAAATGAATCATTTTAAACTTCTTTTATTGAAGATTTGAAGTACAAAATCTTTCTACTTAATATGGTTCTGAGTATGTCAAAATCACTTTACAAGTAGAATCAATACGAGATTCTAAAGTCTCAAGGTTAAGAACAAGGTTTGTCCTAATATTCTGAATTTGATGGAGTACAAAATCTAAAAGAGTATACATCTTTCATTTAATTAATAAACACGAAAAAAGAAAAGAGATAAAGTTATACGAATCCGTTGAATATCAAACTACTACATAAAAAAATAAAATCTCCATTAAAATTAATATTTATAGAACTAGCATCCATACAAAGACAAACTTATTTCTATTGTTGCTTTTTTTTTTTGATGGAAAATATTTCATTCATAAAGGCAAAAAAGCCTTAGGAAATAGTACAATAGTGCCTGTCAATGAAAGTTACATTTTCAATGAACAAAGGGGCATTGTGCCACCATAAGGTCATGTCTTCAAGAGACCATCCATGTCGCGCCAAAAAGTGAGCTGCTTGGTTGCCAAGTCTATTGCAATGTTGGAGGCTACTTTGAGAGAATCTCTTTAACAAGTCCTTAATTTCAACCGCCATGTACCTGATTGAAGCTGAGGTTGGTTCTAGTTTATTGACTTCATCCACAAGGAACAAACAATCACTCTCCACTATCAATTGAGATATCCTGAGGTTAAGGCAAAGTTGTAGACATCGCACAAGTGCTGCAGCTTCAATGTGTTCAGGTTCCAAAATGGTATTTTCAGGGCAGCTTGTAGCCAAAATTATTTCCCCCTCGTGGTCACGTAAGATAATTCCAAGTCCATCCTTGTTAAGATCAAAGAATAATGCTCCATCAACATTGAGTTTTACTGCATTCTGAGGTGGTGCTAACCACCTGTATTTGCGGGATAGCACACTAGGAGCATGATGGAGAAGATGGCCTGATATAGCAGCTGGTTTGTTGGCGAGAGCTGTAGCGATTACCTGTTGTAGTGGGAGATCAACCTGGTCATGAACCATCTTGTTACGACGGTACCAGAAACTCCAAGTAATGAGCAGAAATTCTGAGAAGGCCTCTGTTGAAACATTAGTCGGGATTGCAATAGCAGCCTGTATGAAGCCTCCATGAAATGTCTTATTCTGTAATGTTGGGAATTGTCTTGTTAAGACTCCATGAATGGAGGGGCAGTGAAGTAACACACATGTTTGATTCGTCTTATTCTTTTGTTCGAAGTTTATTTGACTCGAGCAATTAAGTTTGAGGGGTTTCTCATAACCTGATGCCTATGGTCATCTGACTTGGGTTAACCAGCATAAAGCTCGTTATATGGGTCTATTTAGTCGCTTAATTGATAAGAGTCTGAACATAAGATGTAATTCACGAGAAAAGTAATATAAAAAAAAAACTACATGCTCATCTTCAAGGGGAGGAAATAAACTTGGTCATGAACTTGAGCTTGTTTTCAAGTCCTAACATCACATTTGGGTTTGACTTTCATTAGTAGGGATCATACTTACTTAATAGTGATGTTTACATATCTTTTCTCACAAATTTAAGGTTTGAAGTCTTTTTCACGAGAAAAAAGTGGCACTTTACACTTATGAGTCACTTATACACTTTATTCCATCATGAACTTCATTGAGTACGTGGGAAGTCCTTATTGATAATGCTCGACTGGTAAATGTATGCATGGTTGTGATCATCGGTTGGACAAGAGCTTAATTTACTTAATTTGATTTTTTTTATAAAAAAAAAGTAAACAAAAAATATATTGCTAAATTTGTTCAATTTAAGTATTATTTAAAAAAAAAAATTGGTGCTATTTTCTTAATTTTTAAATTTGAAGTGATATTTCTGTAATTACATTTTCGCCAGCTTATCGCTGGAACTCGCTCTAGCGACAGCAACAGAATCTGCCTCGCTCTCTTATCGCTCGACCTTCGCTCCAACGACAGGCCGTAACTTTGAATTTTAAAGTTCTTTTTCAGGGTTTTTTTTGCGTTTTACCCAATTTTTCTCTCAATTTCTTACTCTATTCTTCAACCACATCAAATTTGTGTATTACCCACCTCTTAAACACTCCCAATCACTCCTTGTATGTAGTATTTCCTTGAATCTTCAAGCTCAAAAGGTAATTTTTCGAAAACTTTTGCTTTGTTGTGGTGTTCTCGCATTTTGGCACTTATGTTGGTGTTTTCTTGTTAATGGCACTCGATTCAATGACTATGTAAATGGCAATCTGCCAATTGCTGGTCGTCCATGGATGCAGTGCAACTATTTATTAATTCCATTTTCACATTTAGCCAACACTTGTTATCTTTATATCGTTAATTTGCATGAATGGAAATTTCAAATCTATAATTGTAGCAATAATGAGCATACAGAGCATGAAATTACAACAGATGCACATATAGTCTACAGTTATGTTCATGCATTATTATCCTCTCCAACATTTCTTTAGAGCCGACGAGATCTAAGCATCTATGCACGCAAAAAATTGAAATTGGACATCATACCTTATTTATCTTGTGCAAACAACTGGTAAATATTCAAATATTATTTACAATATCTCTATTTGATTTAATTTCACATTTATAATACTATTTTCATCTAACAAAAAATCTTTTCTTTACGGACTAAATTGCATATTATCGATGCTCAAATTTATAGAATGTTTTGTTTTGGACTATCCATTAGAAACAGTCGACCCAGACAGGATAAGCATATACAGACGGAAACTTACAGCTGATATTTGTTTTAATAAATATTTCTTACACCCCCGATCATCGTAATGTATGGGTTTTGCAACGGGTTATCTTTCTATCAATGATCTTTCATCATGCCATTATTGTTCTTTTATGTTGTCTTATAATGCTAATAATGAGTATCATTATTTGCTAAGTTGTTGAATCATGAGTCACCTTGAACAACAATTAGAGGGTATAAAAAGTACTATTAATTTTTTACTTTTTTATATTTTGTTGCTCTCTGGTCAAGATTGGTTACTTAATAGACTATGTGGCTTCTTGGACTTCAGGTTGTTTTGCCAGAGGGGTCTAAGGATATTTCCGTTTCTGTTCCATTTCCTGTCAACCAGTCAGAAGAGCTGTGGTTGAACTGAAGTTTTTTTGGGAAATATTTCTTTCCTTGATGCAAAAGGACTGTCCCTCTAATATAATGTTTGCTTTTGGGTTCATTGTAGACAAAAATTTCCCATTTGGATTTGGTTGATCGACCAGTAATTGTATTGGAAAAGACAAACGCTGTGCCTGAGCATAATCAATATTTTCAGGTAATTTTGAAATTAAATATGCTAGACGATAACGCAAAATGCAATAGTCTTCTTAGTATACTACATTCATAATCAGTATGTCGATTTAATAATAGTATCATGAAAGTGAACTTTTACACTTTAAATTCCAGTGTAATGGAATGCTTTAAAAATTCTAGGTTATGGAATTCTAAACGGTTCAATTACCTAAATTTGCATCCAGTCACTCCTAGCCCTTCTATTGATATATTTTCTTTTCAACCCTGTAATGACCCATTGAATTTGCATATATAAAGTTGGTTTGTACATTCAAAGTTAAATGTTATAGTGGAAGAACAAAAGTAACAATTTGACATTAATCTTTGCTTAGATAGATAAGAAAATGATGATTTCAAATGTTTGAGAAAATGGAAAGAAAACCAAGAATGTTAAATGCTATGTGCATGCTAATGGGATATTATGCAGTATCAACTTGAACTTGAGAAGAAACGCATCAAATAAGTTCAAAAGGTTTTCTGACCCTGATTTTCCTAGATGTTGTCTGGTTATCAAGCATGAGAAATTTTGCACTGTTCATGATTTCTGGAAAATGTCATTGATTTATCTGCCCTCTGTTTTCCTTGAGCGCCAGTCAATGGCTTAGAACTCAAGCATTTGATTCCGCAGCATCTCTCTTCATGTATTTTATCCTTTAATTTCACTCTTTTAGGTAGAATTATATGTTTTTCACATGCCTTCAACATATGGCACCTTAAAAGTAGAATGTTGAATATTTTTTTAAAAATATTTGGATCCCTGTTTGAAACCCAAGTTATGTCATCCGCTAATTTTCTATATCTGGGAACCCATCAACTCATAAAAGTCTGCAATAGTAAGCTCACCAGCATCATCACCCATCAATTTTCTATTTCTATGATGCAAACACATCCGTACCTTCTCTCAGATGCCTTTACTGCCTGTTGGCACTTATATTGTTTGGTAATCTGTGCCTCCTGTGAACTAAAATTAGTACTTTTCTTCTTATTTAGCCTCCCTCTTCCTTCATAAAAACATGGGAAATTGTGTTATGAGTGGTGATGTGCCGAAACAGTATTTTCAGAAATGTTCTCTCAATGTGGTTCACTCGTAGATTGGTATACTTTCTTTCTATTTTCATTGTACGAGAATAGGTTCCATTAGAAGCAGGATGGCAGGTTTTGCATACGAATGTTTTGGTCTCTAAATGCCAATGACCTTTTGTGTCTGCAATTCGTCTTGAGTCCTATCATAATGGCATTCCATTATGCTTCTCTGCTTTCCAGTGGCTTTGCTTTTGGAACAATTGGGAGCTGATATATATTATTTTGCCACAAGTCTATTACAAATTCAACAGCCTTTCTTTACTTAGGGGGCCATTGATGTTGATTTCTGGATTTTTTTTTTTTTTACTTTGTTGCATGCATAATTTATATGCATGCAAACTTGACAATTTCAAAATCCTCTACTTACATGGCTAAACTACAGTGGGATGAGGTGTGTTTATATTGTGTCCTTTTTTGTATCAATTTGATGAAAAATCATCAACCTTTCAAGTTAAGGGAAATCTTTAACTGGGTGATCCATTTTTCTGGTACAAACTGCAATTCAGCAATTTCAAAATATCATGAACCGCGGTATAGTAGTCCATAACAAAATAAAAGCATCATTACGAGATCTTTCAAGGACCAGAGATGTGCAAGCTTGCAAAGCAGCTCGCAAAGCTGCTGACAATTCGCTTAAGGATCTGTCCAAAGAGTTGAAGCCCTTGTTGTCATTCTTGCAATCTTCCCCCCAAGCTGTTCAAATTTTGTCTAAGGTTCATGTTCTATCTATTTGATTTTCTTATCATTAACACTGGTTGTATCTAAAACTATAACTGCAAGATCATATAGTTCCTAATGGTATTAAAGGTTAAAAAGAATATTTTTCATTATAATATCTAGTACAGGTCGTCTAGTCTAATATTATCTCAAATACTTATCAAACATGAACGGCATGTTTGTATGAAGGGATAAGAGTATATTGGTAATCTCGACATTTTATGGTCTTATATCTTTATTGGCCTCATGCAGGTGGAGGAGCTGGTTGCCAAGGAGAAGGAACTGCAAGAGAAGCTAATGTTGAAACACTCCACGGTGGTAGATTGTTATGAGAAGAAATTTGGGGGATGAGAAACTGAGAATTGTGTTGCTTCAATGTAGCATACAAGTCTGCTCAAGTGATTTATTTGTGTTAAAATGATGGGTTTTGAGCTCATGGATTCATTTATTATAAACATTTTCTCGTCTATGTCAATATATAGTTTTATTTCTTTACAAATGTTTCGTAATATTAATTTAATTACGCTAACATACAATGCTAATATCGCCTTCAAAATAACACAACTTGTGCATCGCACAGTGTAAAACTAGTATATATAAAATGATTTGTAATTCAACAGCATTTTATATTTTTATTTCAGTTCTACTAAATCAAGTTTGATGTTTTAATAGTATCAATGTGTCTTCATGGTATGTTAGGTTGCATTGGTACTATGTATTGATCTAGCAACCATAGTTAAAACAGAACAAGTCTAATTGATTTATAAATTGCTTAAATTATATAAACTGCTTGAACTGTTTTATTATACTGTTTTCCACACATTTTACACTGAGTGTTGAGTTATTTGTTTCAGGAAATAGGTGCTCATTAAACTGAAGAATTGTTCAAGTCAATTAGTTTGTCATATGCTAGTCTGTAATTTATTTTTGATTACTGCATTGACTTAGTAGTTTTCTCACAGAATGTCAAATGAGAAGTTTGTTAGGTTTTAGATGTTTTTTAATTGACAATTCTGTAAACAAAAGTACTGAATTGTACTATGTTTAAAAAGTTAAGGAGTAATGTGCAAATAGTTGAAAATATGATTATTAGGTTTAGGGTTCGAGAATGACAAAAAAAGGAAAACGACGCGATTTTTCGTTAGATTGTCGCCAAAGTTTGGCTCGAGCTACAAAAGCAGAAATATTATCGTTGGACTGTTGCCCCTTCCTTGCTCGAGCGACATACTATCACTCGACCTTCACTGAGCCCTTTCTCGAGCGAAGTGGTTATCTGAGAAATTTTTATTTCGCTATTTAAAATCTTTTTACTCCGCCCATTAGTTTTTCTAACCTAACTATATGTACCAAAACATGTCTGTACGAAAACTAGTGAGGTTGAACATTGAGAGAGTTTCATCTTTAAGAGATTCATTCGATTCCATCTTTCAACCTTCATCTTTGGTGAGAAAGATATTGTTTCTGTAATCCAAATACTAAACTGTCTTTCCTCTACATCTCGTCGGAGTTCTGAAGATCGAGGGAGTTTGACTGAAGTTTCAGTTTGTGGAGAATGCGGTGTTCTTCGTTGATCCACGGGAAATAGACGATTCCACAAGACTAAGAGTGTTGTAGGGTAGGAGATTCAACGGTGAGTTTTGGTAACAACAGCTAAGGATTGGTGCAGGGGAGCACGGGATCCAGAGAGAGCTGAAAGTAGTGCAGTCTAGAGATCAAATAGTACAGGTCATCTAGTCTGATAGACTGTAAGAAATTTGAATTGTATATAGTTGATTGTCTGTCAAAGTGACAAGAAAGAGAGCTGTAAGGAGTGCAGTTGATAGATCAGATAGTACAGGTCGTCTAGTCTAATAGACTGTAAGTAGTTTGAATTGTTTATAGTGGATTGTCTGGCAAAGTGCCCAGAGATTTTTCCAGTTGGGTTTATCCGTGATCATCCTTGTGTTGATTTACTACTTTCGTTATTATTTATTGATTGATCATATAACCCGTGGTATTCTTTAAATCCTGATTTATGACTTACATATTTAATCATCTAGAGAAGAATTAAAAAGTGACTTGTTGCTGTTTAATTCGTAAAATATTTTTAATTTCGCATAATATACCTATTCACCCCCTTTTAGATATTGTTAGGGCTGAATTGCGTAACTTTCAAATTAGAAAAAGTAACATTTATCCTAGATAAAAGATAATTTTTCATAAGTAACCAAATTGTAACAAGGACAATTTTTCTTTTCAAATGTGTAAATACATTGTAAAAATGCAATGATTTTCAAGATGTATTGACTAGCGGTGGTCGATTGGTTTGGAGGGAAGTGGGGTGTTTTGGAGGACAGATGCTTTTTGGATTCTTTTTTATTTAGTTCCTTTTTAGCCCCAGTTTGGCATCCTTTAAAATTTTAAATTATTTGCTATAATATCATTCTTTATCATACATTCACGTAATAAAATATTCTACACACAAATTAATAAAGTTTCCTTATTTTTTAACCACGCATTCTCCATCAATCTACTATTTTTTATAATACATTACAAGAAATTAATGGCTCTCAAACGTGGCCTTAGTTTAGCTAAGAATCAATTTTTAGTAGATTTTGAAAAGTTGATGAAATGTCTAGTTAAAAAATTGATAAAAATTATACACCCCATGAAATATGTGGTCGAAAATGAATTTGTGAAAAAAATTATGTTCAAAAAATGATGGCCAAATAAGGGCTTAATTTTCGTTTATGTGCGAAAGGTCGAATTGAATGGATTTTGGCCAGATTTTCCTATTCTTCATTGAATCAAATTTTTAGTAGATTTTGAAAAGTTGATAAAATATGTAACTGAAAAGTTAATAAAAAAAATTGCGAATATCTTGTAATATCTGTTTGAAACTGATTCTGTAAAAAATGAGAGACGAACAAGGGCTTAACTTTCGTTTCTTGGGTTGGAACTCCAATGGGGAAAGCCGAATTGATCGAAATTTGGCCACATTTTTCTATTCTTCAATTATAATTTTTAATTGTTTCCTTCACACAAATCTCATTACAGATTAATATTTCTCTTTAGGTAATGCTTGAAAGGGCCCATGGTGTAATTACACTGAAAATTTGTTGAGTCTGAATGTAAATGACTTGAAACTGTGATTGATATGAAATGATCCATAATCAACGTACCTAAGTCCTAATTAGTGAGGATTAAAATTAATTTGTTAGTATATTTTAATAAAAGTTGATAAATTATGTGGTTGAAAAATTGTTGGTCCAATGAAATTTGTGATCATTTGATTTAAATTAAAATCTAAATTGCATAGTCCAGTGGTTCCTAAGAATCATGCAAGTCCGGACTCATTTTTCCGTTAAACTTCAATCCATATCTTTGCAACATTGACCACTATACCATATATAAGAAGCACAAGGGCACTTGCATATGTGCAACATATACAATTCAGGGGGTGTTTGATAGATATTATTGATGAAATAATGTATTTTAAATAGCGATGTGACGGGAAATATGTAGTTAAAAAGTAAGAAGAAGTTATTGATGCGTGGTTAAAAATGAGTTTTGAAAGAATGTATTTTAAGAGAATGTGTGTCAAACGGGAGCTCAAATGACCTTGCTTACTGCTTTGAAGGAGTGGACAAAGGAACATTGAATTCTTATTATTTAAAAATTTCAACAAAAGAAAAAAAAAATCACAATTCTTATTACAAAACCACTTACTATGCACGTGTTTTAAACTAATTTAAACATTTGGTTTATTAATTTATTTTCAAGTGGATTAAATTTTGAAAATTGACACAAGTATCGGGGACAAAATTGTCTTTTAATAATTCATTTTTATATATATTTAATCAACATATTGAAAATCAGAATTCTCAAGTCGAAATACTTAGCCCATGTTTGTGCTTCATTTTTTTCAATTATAATGAGGGAATAATAATACTTTTTTGGAGAATGTAAGGTTAAAAAATATGAATTTTTTTTTTTAAGATTTATGTGTAATATTATTTTATTGAAAAAAGTGTGGTTGATAAGAAGAGATGGAAAAATAAATTTTAATTTAATAGGAACCAAACATGAGCTTAATTTGAGTCAAAGTGGACCCAAATTTACAAACTCGAATCACTAGAAAAATAAAAATAATAAGAAGAAATGTTAATAGACGAGGGAAACAACCATCTTAAGCAGGCGTGGACCCACATGGGGTCATGTAGGGTCATGACCCCACAATTTTTTTTTTTTTTTTTTTTTTTTCAAGTTTTCTTTTTTTAATAACTTTTAATAAGATTACTTTTTCATCGTCTCTACAGGTAATAAAAAAGTCTATGCATAGT